TCTGACTGAAACATGAGAACATGGAGGCCTGAGATGTGGACGCAGCCTCTGGGACCCGGCTCTCCTGTGATTTACAACACGTGGTCGCCTTTTCTCACTGCGAGCGTCACCTGTGAGCCGGGCAGGACAAACACCTGCCAACTGTGAGTGAACACCTTTGATGATGATGCCGCCTCCGTCCGTGACCCGGAGACGAGCAAACTCAGTCAAACCCTTGTTTGCTGGAATACCAAACATAGAAAATGCTGTGCCACTTGTTGTCACGGCAGCGCCGATACTCGTTTCTATTGCTGCTGAATCACATTCCTCACAGACCAGGAAACAAGATGGCGGCCTCTCCTTTACACGCAAACCCAGTGTAAACGAAGCTCTTCATCCGGGTACAAGAAATCTTGCATGAAGGAAATGACACTCACACAACTGTCAAACAAAGGTTTTGTGAGAAACAGATTTCATTTATGAAAGTGTCAGTTTTAGTGCGGGTTATATCTGACAAAAGCAAATTACAGAAGGTCTTGACCTCAATGAATGATCAATTATATCAGGCAACGCTAGGAGAAGGGCGCCAGCATGAGAAGCATCTGAGGCTCCAAATGTGGGAAACTCGGCCTGTTTCCATTGACTCAGTCTGAACCGAGTTTAGCTGCAAGAATGGAATTGATGTTTTTTTTTTTTTTTTAATGAGCCTTCAGCATCCCCGGAAAACAAGCGTCTGTCGATAACCTAACTGGGGGAGCGTTTGTCCATAACCTAACTGGGGGAGCGTTTGTCCATAACCTAACTGGGGGAGCGTTTGTCCATAACCTAACTGGGGGAGCGTTTGTCCATAACCTACTGGGGGAGCGTCTGTCCATAACCTAACTGGGGGAGCATCTGTCCATAACCTAACTGGGGGAGCGTTTGTCCATAACCTAACTGGGGGAGCGTTTGTCCATAACCTAACTGGGGGAGCGTTTGTCCATAACCTACTGGGGGAGCGTTTGTCCATAACCTAACTGGGGGAGCATCTGTCCATAACCTAACTGGGGGAGCGTTTGTCCATAACCTAACTGGGGGAGCGTTTGCCCATACCCTCACGG